AGACGAACTCCCTGACGTTTTTCTGATTTCTAACTTCTCTTTGAATTCTCTATTCATTTACCTGAGTTATGGCATTGTGAAAAATAAAATGCTTTGTTTTCACTTATAAAGTGGGTAGATACTTTCCAATTCAATGTCGTGGAAGCAAACAAAACGGAGTCATTCATTTCTGTAATGAAGAATGAAAGTTCATCTGTTTATTTTCGCGACTGTGAATTACGATAGCATGCGCACATGTATTCTTGCAGTTCCTTTAATACTTGTGCAGTACGAATTAACCATGGTTTTTTTAAATGCACTTGACGATTATTCATGATTTTAGAGGAGGTATTCGTACAACATTGTTTTCATCACACATTGTAAATTACTTCCTTTTGAGTGAAGAGTTCCATGCCGTCACCTACGGTGGCTAACAAGTCTTGTGTGCTCCAGTTTTAAGGCAGATTTATGACTCAAGGACGACTTTCTTAGTGAGCAAGGATGCACAGTTTTAGCAGCTTGCACAGCACGACTGGGGCAGAAAACGGGAACATTGTGCATCGATAGGGAAGTGTCTCTTCCGCGCGCAGCCCACCGAAGCACGAACTCGCGAGGGGTTGCGCAACGACCAACCCTGATTCATGGCTTGGAAACATTATCTACAAACGATTTATTTATTTATTTAATATTATTTCATTCTAGTCAGAAGGTTCAATAAATTTATTAATTATCAATACAACCTTATATTTATTAAATACCTTTTTATATTAAGAATAAATAATGAAATTTTAAAACTATTTTCGCGGGCGCTCCGGGTGGCAAACTACGAGTTCCTAGATGCAGAAAGTAGAACCGCCATTTAATACACTTTCACCCGATAACTCCATCATGCAGTATCAGGAATGAAGTCATTTAGAAAATTTTCAAGGATGTTAATATTAGGTTTTGAATACGTTGATGGTTCCCAACACAAACAATTTTGCACAGTTCCAACTGCCCTGGCAGTTGGATATGAAATAGGAGACTCGATAGCACAGAAGACACAAAGTACCCTCTATATCTAGATGCTCTATCGGCAAACGTTTTGTGGGCGCCCCTTGTTGCGGCGTTGCAAACCTAACATTGGGTAATGAACATTTTTTGACTTTTGTATTTTATATTACACCTGATAAATCTCCTTTGCCATGTAAATGTAAATTACTAAGTCATGTGGCTCAGTGGTACCAATAGAGCCTTGACCAGACATCCACGTACTCTCTTATCAGAGTCTTTCCTGTCTTGTTTCCTTGACCGGTTTGTCCTAGAATTCAGCCCCGGTGGTGGCGGTGTTCGGAGGAGAATTCTAGCAGCCGGGAGCTATATAACTTTCTCTCTACTGCGTGAGCGGTAGTGAGAAAGTAAAAAGAACTTCCGTTCACCCACCCTGCGGTAAAAATTGGGCAAAATTTGCCAAATAATACAGGCCGATGCTGCCCAAATGGCTGCTTGTTTCGTTCTCTTGAGTAACCGAAGTAGAGACGGGTTGTTCTTGGGATTATTCCTATTTTCTCAATTCGGCGAAAATCTCAATTTCCCGCTGAAACATGTCTTTCTAGACCGCTAGGTAGATCTTGTAAAGGATATAAGGGGTTTAAGGAACCTTTTACTACAGTTACTTCATGTAAATTCAATTGCGCAGTAAGGTAGAATGCTCATGCGGGAATCACATTGCGTCAAATATTTATTAAATTACAGTAGAACCCCGGTATTGAACCTAATTGGGGGAGGGTGTGTTCGGATTATCCGAAATAATGAACCGTACATATACAAATGCATCCATAGGATTACCGGGCACAACGCAACGTAAGGTGCCATGTGGGCAAATGGCAACGTGGCGTAGTGATCGCATAATCCCATCACATCACATCGCATCACCAAGTAGATTCAGTTCCGTGCGGCCAAAGAAGATAAACGATTTTGCAAGTCCCTCTAAGTGAAATGTCTGTTGTGTCTGCTACATAAACGCGTGATAAACACCGCAGTTACCATTGCAGTAAACGTTTAATTTCGACGTGTGTTACAATAATTAGTTGTTCACTTCTACAGTAATTATAAAATCCTTTCTTTACACTACAAATGTGCATTTTATTTACTATTTCCTCTGTCACGAATTTTGTTCGGATTAGCGGGGATCGGATCAGCGGGATTCCACTCTACTTTTATTAATAAAATAAATAAATAAATAAATGCATATGAGCAAACTGACATCCATAGCCGCCTAAGATTCTGTATGTCAGTTTTCTCATTGAATTTATTTATTTATTTATTTATTTTTCTATCTATTCTATTTACTCTATTTCACCTTAGCATAATAATTGATGTCAACTCAAAAACAACTTTATTTTACTTTCTTTAACAGTTAAACTTTATACATTTGCTCTTTCATGTATGGTTCCTTGAAAATTTTGTATTTATTTTCCTAATTTATATTTCCATTTTATTCAATTGTTCTTAAATTATTTTGTTCACTAAAATTCATAAGTTAATTTTATAATACACAAATTGTAATTTAGATATTGTTGTAGCACTGAACGCGACCGAGAAAAATCTTAATGCAGAAATAAACACATACTACGTCGATCGTTCGAAACCCATTTTCTTATTGAACATTTTGTTGTTGTTGTTTGTTTTTGTTTTGCATCACTTCAAATGGACACGTCAATACTAGACAATTGCCAAAAGAAAGTCGCGTTAATTTAGGCCGCATCAAACGCATGGGACCTGATTTTCATTACATTTCACAACCATTTTAGAAACTAGGTTCCATTACATTCATCAGTTATATTTATCATCAGTTAATTTTTCAAATATATTTACAGGTGGAATCCAATGTTTTCTAAAAGTTATAATATATTTAATACTTCACAATTGCAATACACTTATGTATTACGGTTAGTTTATATTTTGCTGTTAATTTTCTTCAGGAACTTAATACATTAATTACGTAATTCCCTGCCGTGTGGCACATCAACAGATTAATATAATTCGTTTTGTGCTTCAGTCTAATAGTCTGATTCAGGGAATAGAATGAAAAATGTCTTAAGCTGATTACTCCACATCGCAACTGTTGCTTCTAATTGCCAAAAGAGATTCATCCTCGGGAAAATCTTTTTTTCTGTCACTAGTCAAATATATCTCTTCGCGTCCTTCAACAAGGCTTAATTTTCTGGAAGGACTCCTCCCAGTCGTTTGATGTTATTGGGACCTCCGTAGTTGCCTGCCTAGCACAAAGCGGCACGGCTGGTCGGCGGATTGTTAAGCGACATTCTTGGACAGCCGGGAGGGCGCCAGGCAATTCCGCGAGCCCCCGTGGTTGTAAATAGGCGAACAAAGCGAATCCGCTAGCGGCTCGAAAGCCCCCGCGGAGAAAGGCTCGCGCGGCCGTAGGTAGAAGATGGCGACCCGATCGGCTCTGTTCGAAAGAGCGCTCGCGCGCGGGGGGGGGGGGGGGGGGGGAGGGAAAGGGGGGGGGGGGGGGAGGGGGGGGGCGCCAGCTGACCGCGGAGGCGAGCCGCGTCTTTCTGGGAAGGCCCATCAGCTGACCGGGCGCGCCACGGTGGGCAGAGGGAGCCCGAAGCCGAAGTATTTCGAGACAAATATCGTGGGAACACGAGTGACATGACACACCTTGAAAGTATTACTTTTTTACAGAATTAAAATCATTAATTTTTAATAGGAAGTGGTGGTTTTCTGTTAAAAATTGCATTAAGTAATTTCACAAGACAGCAGGTACATAGAGTAACACATTAGTTTTGACGAATTAAATGCCCCACCCACCCTTCTACTGAAAACTGGCAAATTTTTAGGTATATCACATGTCTTTTGGTATGAAGACATGCATGCACATTATATTTCAACACTTTAGCTAAAGATGGTAGTCATATATTAACTTACGCGTTTTCAGTTGCTTTGTAGAGGACCATCTGAAGCATATTCTTTTACAATAACGTATTCATCCAATTATAATTTGAAGTGATGTACATCACAATTCAGTCAGAAACAGTCATTTCTAATGGCTAAATGTTATTATGAGTGTTAAACATGTTGCCTTATCCTCTTTGGATTCAAACTCTTGAGATGTGTAGAAGTTTCCTTCGTATAATTAATTGTGTACTATTCTAGCACGTAACTTTATAAGATTTATATTCGTAGGTTTAAAAAAGGTTGGTATAGTTTTCCACGATTGTATTGGTTCATGAAAAAGGTACCGTATGTGTTTCTCACCTCGGAGCCATGTAAAATGGAATAAAGACTTAACAACACATATTGCAAAGAAATAGTACATTTTATTGCATTGTTAATAGGTCTGCGATGACTGTTAAAGGGTTAAAACTTCCTAATCGTCAATAATTACTTTTAATAAATGTTTTAAAAAATTATTTTGGCCATTATGAGAGCAGCATCCCAAAAGCCAAATGGACATGATGTTAATAAAGTGGCTTGACTTCAGAGTTTCTTCAAACCAAGTTAAGGCATGTTCCACAATTTTTGTGCTTTTACATGGGGTTGGGAGGTACGTCAACGGCACCTCATAATCGTCTCATGTTAACGAAGGTATTTACGTCCTCAAGAACGCTAAGCTGGAAATATAAGTTTTCGACTTCCTTTTTAAACGCTTTTAACTAGCAATATTTTTCGTGGAATATGTTAAAATGCTTCGTATGTACAATTGAAAGGTCGTTTAAAATGTTAATTAAGAGTTAGGTGACTCATGAATCTTGTTTTTATTATTTTCTTTAAATTTGTAAAAGTTTTTTTTCGAAGTCTCTTCGATTTTCATTTTTTTTTAAATTCTGTACATAGGACTACTGTACCCTTCTCTCCTTGACCCATGAAATGTCTGGAAAATTCAAGAGCACTTGAATCCCGCCCTCCGGACGCCCCCCCGTTTACAGTATTATCTCCTAAAGATACGGCTTTTCACAACTGCGATAAATTCGTCAATATAAGGAGTCGTCTCAAACGAAGCCCTGACGTTGATCCTGAGCAGTCAGCTGATTGTCAAACTTGTGGAATCTATTCTTCTAGAAGAGTCGGAACTCGAAGTGATTCCCTCATACCTTCTGAATTTCTCTTTCCAGTATATGGCGATTGACAATAATCGTCGTACATATTTAGACAGCATCTTAGGTAAGTGTGCAAGTATGACCAATTTGCAAATGTTTTTACTTAATACGTGGTGGTGACACAGATACGGAAAGTCTCCTGTTATTCTGGAAAGGAAAGCGTGCAATTTTTAGCACTAAGATTACGAAAATTGTGTTCCTAAGACATATTTCCATTCATTTACAGCAGAAACTCCGTCTTCAGGTACTTTTCTGATAGTGACTGATAGATACAGCCTTGAAGAAATGCCTTCTGTAGGGGAGAGAGCTGATCAACAAATGTCTGAATTGAATAAAGATAATGTGAAAGTTGATGCTTATTTTGAAAATTAATAAAGACAGATTCAATATTTATTCTTCTGCCTATAAACAGAATGGGATCACGAGACGTTAGAAACAATAAAATCTTGAAATATAGCGTTGTGTGAAGCGAATTCCGAATAACTCAAAAGTTCCACTCGAAGTAATTTGGAAAACGTTGTTCTGAAATTCTTTTTGGAACAATAAAAATACGTGCAATAAAAGAAGTAAGACTGCGAATCGAATGTTTTACGCTTTCCAATATAACAGCAAGTGAAGGAAGTGATAAAAATGTATCTTGTTCCCGAAATAATAGTTACATAGTGTGTTAATTTATCATTCGTGCACGCAATTGGTTTCTGTCTCTGATTGATGTTTAACAACAGCGAGGCAATCTGCTTTTAACTGATTAATAGTTTTTGTATAGAATATGCGTTCTTGTGCATCTGAACACAATACATTACTGAATCTGACACGTATTATATTTTAAATCAAAGCCTGATGACAAAAGACCTTCCTACTTTTACTTTGTGTTTAATGAAAACGAAAGCCACAGAAAGTTGTACTTCATATTGATGAAACTATAACTTCGATCAATACAAAAAACAAATGTTTAGTATTTAGTTTTAGTCATCACCGAAAAGAAAACAATACAATTAAACACAATTCACAATTTAAAACACAAGTAAAATGTAAAGCCCCTGGAATGTTTTGACTGCCTCATTTGGTAACTTTATCAGGTGCGATTTATTTTAATTTTGTAACTGAAATTAACTATATCATAATTAAGCATGTTAGATTAAAGTTCGGTTATGCTTTTTTTTATTTGTGTAGGGTTCTTAAATTTATGATTTTCTGTTATACCTATAGTTTTAGACATCGGAATTGCAGTTTATTTTTAGTAAAACCTAAATAATAAATATTTGATCCAATCAACAGCAGGCTAATGCCAAAGCAGGGCCCTAAGTAGTGGGTGCGTAGCAGTTGGAATTGAAGTGAGTGCATGGAAGCTCAAAATGACGGCAGGGCCATTGGCGCAAAACGAGTTTCCACTCTGCCGTGATTGGGAACCCGTTCGCGCCGCACAAAGCCGCCTGCGCGCCTGCCTCCGCAGCGAAAGACTCCGTGCGCCCGCCTCGTCCCGGGGCTGCGCGCGTACGCGCTGTGCAAGTGGCGTTTCTTTGCGCGTCGGACTGAGCCTGCACAGATGCCGCCCGGCGAGGAGAAAGGTTGCGATCTTGATACCCGATCCATGCGAAATATGGCATCCTGGCCACGACATGGAAGTATCTACGCCATGTTACTATCGAACGCCAACTGTTGGTGTCGGTCTGATTCAACGCATGTTGCATAAGTTACTAATATTTTATACTTTCTTTTTTTAATTTTTTTTTAATTTTTCAATTCTCCTTCATTCGCCAAAAATTTGTATTTTATGTCTACGAATCTCCTCGAACGAATTTAGGACGCAAACCGTGGAGTCTGATTTAAAATTAAAACGTCAATTTACTGATATTATAGCTTAAGTGTACTGCAAAGAGGTGTTTTTTTTCCCTTTTAGGTTAAATCGTGTGCTTGATAAAAACTGCAGAATTATTTTCCCCCTTGTCTTACGTAATGTGAAAGGTTGATATTCACCTTGCCTACTAAATTAAAAGTAACCTCTCTGAAGACAATCGCTTTCGTCGAATCAGTCTGCACTTTTTAAATCGTTTTAAAAAGTGCAGACTATTCGCACAGATTCACAAAGGTTGTACTCATGTGGGTAGCAATATTAGTAATATTACCTACCGGTTGTAAAAAATGAGTGATGCGGGTGTTGCTGTTGCACGTTGAAGTGAGTGTCCTTTGGAGTAAACGCAAACTTCTTGTTCCAGAATGCGAAACTACTTCCTCTTGGATATAGGGAAAGGAAAAGCATTAATAAGCAAATGAAATGTATCCCATCTATTGAAATATTACAAGTGTGTCTTTCTCTACTCGAATGCTGTATGTAAATGGGTTTCAATGTTGTCAAGGAATTATCTTTTCTTTCATTATTCACTGCCTGAAGTTTTTTTTTTCTTTTTTTTTCTTTCTTTTTTTCTTTTTCTTGTTTATCTCGATTATTCGGTTGTTTGCGAATTCTGCTTTGAAAAATGTTACCCTTACTTTCTATATTCAAATCGTTGCAGGATTAATCTTTATTTTTAACTGGCATTGGGTTTGGGTTTTGGGCTCAAAATATGTCGGTAGGAAAAATTGACGTTGGTAACTATTTTTATTATATTAACTTTGAAGATTGTAACAAAACTGCAAAACCAAAAGTTTGTTTAATTTATGTTTACCTAACTACTGGGATCTTCACTCAAGATCACAGAAAAAGCATCTTATTACCGGAGAACAATCACATTAACTTAAATTAAAACATTAAATTCATAATTTCTAAACATATTTCAACTGATAGAATCCAATAAATCATTTGTGGGCGAGGGCATTGTGTAAAAGTTGTCCTCCTGTTTGTACACAATGAATACTACGTAAATTACATCTAAATAAATGCTTAAATCAGTTTAAACAATCTACAACTATATCGTCGTTGAATGTTGAGTAAACAATTTAGAAAGGTTCAGTGATTCTCATTTCACGCAATCAAGAGATGACTACAAGTACGAATGTATTGAATGTGTTTCCTGGATATAAGCACGTTACCTTAATTCGGCGAGGGCGGTATTGAGGTTAAATTCACTCCATATTCTAAATACGGGCCTCATTGAAATGATTTTAATGAGAACATTTATAGAACGAACGTGAACGAATGTAGATGTAGAATGATGAGTCCCTTTCTGAGAAAGGTTTCTTTAGGGAAAACAATTTTAGTACGCCTATGAGAACGAATGTGAGCAAACTCGTACAATATACGACTTTTCATCAGTTTATAGGAAATGAATCTAATAGTTGCACAGTCATCACAAATTTAACGTGAACCAAGTTTTAGTAAAAAAAGACTCACACGGAATTGCTGAAGTAACATTGAAATATGGTAGTATGATGAAAATGTTGAAGTCATTCGACTAAAAATTGTATTCAAAATCTCGACATCAGTTTGTCCTAATTGAAGAGCGTATTTTATTATTTCTTGATCACTCACGAGCATTGAAATTTTGGGATTCAGTGAAATGTTGTAACCCCTACTGCTTTGGGTTAGAGTTCAGAGCAATGCATTGACATAGTGATTTTAGTGACTTTTGGTATTGGATTTTTTAATGGAGGCATAGGCAAATCTTCGCGTATCCATTCATTTAAAGAGTATTTCGTAACTCGTAGTCTAGCGCCAGTGGGGTCACGTATCATCAAACATTTCTGCTAGAAGGTCTAGAAAGTGTCGGAGAGATATCCACATCTCTTCATTAGCAGCATTAACGATTGTCCCAAATCTACGACTTGTCTACAAAAATTTGTAATTTTTTCGGCGACTTGTCTGAAACTTGTTTTCAGGAATATTCAAATTTAACTACCTTTCCTCAGTCTTCGTCTGTGACTCAAACAGCAAAAATTCCTCCCTTATTCATATCTTAAGACTTTCCTTTCCCCTCTGATAAAGTTCTATGTGTGGGCCTGTTAGTGGGTATTATGCTTGAGAAATGGCTACCTGCCTTTCAACTCGCAGGTGTACTTGCCGATAAGCCTTGTGTTCGAAGGGAGACTGCATGAGTCAGAGGTCCGCCCGGTACTTTCACTCCCTATCTCGCTCAAACCCAACACACAAAAAAAAAAAAAGAACAAAGGGTTGATTCACTACGTGAGCTATTAGCGTGGCAGTCGGAAGCCACGCGTGAGGCGGCTTCTAGAGATGATGGAAATTCAAAATTTCTCTCTAATCCAATACTGCAAGATGTGAACTATAATTTAAACAAATTTCTATGTTCAAGGGTGCTTCATTTATTTATTTTATTTAATAAACGTTGAAATTACGTCGCTTCTTCTTCTTCACAGAAAAAAAAAGTGCCGCATAATCAATTGCAAATCGACTACTCTATTATTTTTTCTCGGTAATGACTACGGAGCCGATTTCTATGATTTTGCATATTTTCATCCGTTACTTCAGGTCACATCCAAAGGAAATTTCCAGTCATATTAGGCCGACTTTTCCTGTTGCATATTCATGTAATTATGGACGCATATTTTGAACATTTCGTTAAAATAGACTGATCACTAAAAAGTTTCATATTTTCATGGAATATACTTTTTGTAAGAGTTCACTGGTTAGAAAGAGCTTGTCAGAATTTGCGTTTGTTTTTGTTGTTGTTTTGTACTTTTTTTCTATAGATGGTAAAAAGTTTGTGCAGAATGCATGTTGTAGAATATTTCTTTACATGTTCTTTTGTTAAAACTGTAGAAAAAATGCAACAAGGCATACAATGTACTTCACCAAGGTGACTATTTACTTCAATTACTTATCCTGCAAGTAAGGTCGATTATGTTCTGTTCGCACAACAAGAACCTTTTTTTCATTCTAAACATGCTTCTGAAATTTTATCAATAAAGTTTTGTACACGAAATGAAATATTGCCAATTTTTAATTGCATATTAAAGTTTATATGTCAGGATGCTTATGTCATAATGCATATTTTTAAAAGCGTATTTCAAGACTTTAGGCCATAAAAATCGTCTCCCTAGTGATGAGTATAATAAATTCAGAATTCCGGCATTTTTTCCACAATGAAAAAACTTCTGTCGATTCCACCATTCCTACAACTTTTCGGCATTTGAGAAACAACAAGGAGGATAATTGTTATGGTTTAGTTATCTTATTCGAACTTAATTTCTTGAAATCCACGGTTAATTAATTAACGGAAAATTTAATACTTAATATTTTTGTTATAACATCCGTTTTTATACCTCTAGATTGGCTCTGAACATTGACACATTTTCTTTTTGATAGGAGGTTGAAAAAGCCATGAATGAATTATGGGTACCACACAGTTATGGTAGAATAAAAAAATGTGTCTCTGAAACTTGTTCCATTATTTACACGATATTTTGAGGAAAAT